TTAATTCATCTACGTAATAAAACTAGATATCATCTTGAAGAACATAATGTTGTTCTACGATAAAGCTAAGAGATACTTTTAACTAGGCAGAAAGACCATTCTCTTTCGACAATCTTCTATTGGAAAAGACAGCAGGACAAGCACATGAGCAAGATTTTTCTTGCTCCATTTTCTGAGTTAATGTAAATATTATTCTCTCAATTTGCTGTGATAACAGCATATTCGGTTGCCGAAACATTTTTTCTTGCAAAAGAAAAGAAGAAATGATGAAGCTCTAAAAGTTACACACATATACGTCTGTAAAATAGCGAGAAAAGAAATTCTAAAATTTCTTTTAAAGCTTGCACTTTGTATTACACAATGAAGAAAGAGTGGAGAAAATTTCAGGAATGGTTCAGCAATACCGAAGACTACAACAACCCCCAGCTACACTACTCCACTTCTCAATGAGAATAGTCTGTGAATCAGCAATAATAGAAGAATAATGAAATCTTGAGAGTCTCTGTTTGTGGATCAAATATATATGTGCTGAGATTTCCATCTGCATTGTAATCACATACAACGAGTCATTTTGCCGAATTCGACGTTTGAACAATTCGAAGACTAATCTTGTTTTAAAATAGCGAAAAGCGTTTATGACTGAAACATGAAGCTGACGCGATTTCATGACAATGCTGAATACTACTAGAAACTAAAATCCACTAGTCAGATGTGTGTGTTTCACTCATAAATTCTGTTAGGCATAATGATAACAACGTCACTGTTATATCTTGATAAACGAGAAACTGGCACAAATATGGAGGGTATGCTGTTTCAAGGCGTGTCTGGTACACAGTATTTGATGTTATTTTTTATTATATGACTAAAAGGCTTGGATGTTTCTGTTTCAAAGAGATCAAACGATGCTGTATTTTTTGACAATGAATATTTAATTTTTATGCTCTTCTCGGTCACTATGATGATATTCATTGATGTCGATTTCGGTGGCTTCTAGGAAACAAGTAGTAAATAACTGAGAAAAATTTCTTAATAACGGGTAGTATTTATTATTCTGCTCTTTAGTTGAACTCGATGGATTTGAGGAAGGTGATTTGAATGAAGAAATGAGAAGACTTTTTGCTTAAATGTCAGAACTCTGTTGATCTGTTCCGAAAGTTAACGGAAACGCTGCTGATGAATGCTATTAATAGTTTTTGTCGAGAATGTATTTCTATTAAAACATTTAAAAAAATGAACAATAAACAATGTATATCTTTGTACAGAAAAAGAGAGAAATCTACTTCATTTGTATTTTTTGATTCTGCGTAATTGTATATATGTTATTATAAAATAGATAAGTGTCATTGATGCGAGAGCAACAGGATTTTGCCACAGATCCCAACTGTTTTTATACTTAATGTGTCGTTGAAGCAGTATATCTTCACCACGATATGGACATATGTTGGTGTTATTTGTTAAACATAACTTTAGGCCTGTAAATTCATTGATGTTCAGACCATAGAGTGTATAACGAAATATACTGATCCTAAAAAACGTAGAAAGATCGTAAAATAATTGATATCACAGAGCATTTTTCTACATTTATCTGAATAATAACCTAATTATTCAAGTAAACGTAGAATGTTCAAAGTTGCTGTTATCTGAACTATTTTTTGACTCAGAATATCACCCGTCAACAAAAAGGCAAAAAGTGATAAAAAAGAACTTTATGATATGATAACTTATTGTTGTTCTACTACTAACCATTGCAGCCAACTTAAAGCAGGCATAACAGTATCAAGATCAACTATAAATCCACTAAATATCATCATAATTAAAAACAACATGCCACAAATGACACTAGCCACACCTAAAGATGCAAAATCATCATGTAAAATAGTAAATATTTTCTTTCTATTCACTTACTGAATTCTTTTACACTTGCTGATAAACAAAAACATAGTGCACATGAGCACAGTGTGCTAAACAAGACACACAATAAAAAGATGAAGAATTTGTGTGATGTAAGTTGAAAATCTATCATCACATAAACAATAATTGATAAAAGAATGGCAGGAAGTCCTCTTAATGGTATCAGATCGCACACAAGTTTTGATATCATATATGTTGATACATGGTAATAGCCACTTGAATGCTCCTAAAAAACAAACCAAAAGAAGAATGACGTCGCTTTCTATACTATTAGTACACTTACATGAACGAATAGTACTCTTTCTTCGACAAATAGTTGAAGTGCTATTGCATTTACAAATACTTGAAAAGATACTGTAAGAAATATGGCTCCACCCCGATTCGTAACACCTTCGTCAATAGAATGATCGATTTTGAAGAAAACAAAACCTTCGAGAATAGCAAACATAACGGCAATAAAAATTTGTGTAAGAAATGTTGATGGTTTGCGAATAGTATTGCGTAAAATACGTTGAGAAACATAATACAATTCAAAAATACGAGATTTTTTTGGCAATTGTTCTTGCAAGGAAATATTAGATGGCGTATTTACACAAAAATCAGTTTCTTTTTTAACACTTTTCCATATTAGTGAATCTAAATATTTATCATTCATTGACTCAGCTATTTTTTGTTGTGTGAGTTTTTGATTTCGTTCTTTATCAGTACCGACAATTGTAAGTCGATCACCTTGTACGATATCCAAAATAAAGTCACAAGGATTATCTTGTTGTTCACAAGTGAATCCCAGTAAAGAAAAATGAGACAACATGGTCGAGGCTGCTCCATGATAGATGCATCGTCCCATCGACAACAACAGTATCCTGTCGAATAGTTTGTAAATCAAATAACGAGGTTGATGGATAGAAAAGACCATTGTACAGCCTTTGAGAGATAGATCATGCAACAGTTTCATCACTTTGACAGCTGTACTTGAGTCTAAGCCTAAATATATATATCAACGTGAAGAAAAAATTAAGTTCATTTAGAGTCGAGAAAAATTGCTGGTTTTTGTATTCAGCACACTCGAATACTTAGAAGATTTTCTATTATTGGCGAGCGGTACTGTCAAAAGTTTAGAAAAAGTTTTCAAACAAGTATTAATGTCTCACCCGTTGTTGGTTCGTCAAGAAAAATAATACTGGGCGACAGAACTAGTTCCATTCCAATGTTTGTCCGTTTCCGTTCACCGCCCGATACACCTCGATTTAAGTCTGTGCCTACGTAGGTATCCGCACATTTTTCTAAACCCAGTTCATGTATCACCCTAGCGACAATTCTTGATTTTTCTTGTTGATTCACACTTGTTGGCAATCGCATATTAGCTGAAAATGCTAGATTTTCTCTCACTGTTAATGTTCCGCTCAGAATATCATCCTGCACAACGTAACCAACATGATATTTGAAATCAACTGTTTGTAATTGACCATCAATGAGAACTTTTCCGTTTAGACCAGAAGGATCTTTTCGAGCAGCTAGGACATCCAACAGTGATGATTTTCCACATCCAGAGGGTCCTTAATTTGATGACATATAATCTTATTAGCCATTAAAAAAATATTGTAAAGCGAGCAATATTACCTACCTAGGATGGCATTCATTCCCGGTTTGAATATTCCTGTTATATTATGTAAAATTTGTTTATTCTTCTTTTTTAAAAACGGCACCGTGAACAAATTGTAACATTTTTGTTCCTTTATACTATAATTAATATTATGGAATGAAATACTTGATCCCACTGATTTACTTTTAACGTCTAGTATCAAGTGATCACTTGATTGAGTTGACTCTGATTCTATACTACTGGTTGTATAAGTGGCTTGACTTGAACTAGAACTCCTAAAATCGTAAAAATGCACCTAGATAGCAAATTCAACAACATTTGATTTAATGAAATGACCCTTACACACGATAAATGATTAGGATAACACTTAATATATGTCTGAAACCTGTTTCTTAATGTCGTAGTGATTAATCATAGTCATTCGGAAAGCAGGGAATGAAAAAACTGTAACGTTACATGACACAAACGCAAAAAAATTATTTAGACTCAGAAAACTTTTGGTATAGTCAAAAGCTATTGTATGGGAATCATCATCTGACATGTGCAATGAACATCGGCAAACTATATTCAATTTGTAGCCTATATTGAGTTAACTGAAATTCCAAAGTTTGAGCTTTCTGACACTTTGTTTTTCGGTTATGATGTTCTATTTTTATCCCGTAAGGTATAATCTCGTAAAGTGTGAAGTCAATAGCAGGTCATCACTGTTCTCGAGTACGTTTCTTAGCATCATTATGGACAACTTCGGTCCACCTCTATGCAAAGCATAGAAATGGTGAAACATCATGAAATCAATGCAAAAGTCGTGAACACTAGTATAATAGATTAAGCAATTGTCACTTGTAACTTTTATCTAACGAAATTATGAAATGCTATCGAAACCCAAGAAGGATCGTACAGATAATCCTATTAGAGATTAAAAGAAAATCTACTCGGATTTTATGGTAAGGTCATCAATCGAAGACGTTGTAAATAAGCTTTGTAGTTTCTTTTCATTTATGGAAGAAAATAAAGCAAAATGTACCTTTTCATCCCGACTTTACTAAACGTGCCATACGATCCATCGGCCTGTGGTACCACACGGACTGAATACATCGAATATATGGCTGTTTGTTTATTGTACTAAAGAAAAGTATTAATATATTTTTACGTTTTGAATTTATGAATTTGAGAATAAAACTTATAGTTCAGACTTTTCTCTCTTTTGCTTCCTCTCAGTTTTCATATTTATTTTTGTTATCAAATAAACTACAAAATCAGACCAATGTAATAAAGTTCTCTTCAATCCAACGAACAAGACGGGTTAATAAAGCTAAGAATAATGTCTTAAAACAACTTTTCAATTTAAGATCACTGAACAGGATAATGCAACAAAGTCTTTCATTTTTCATTTATGATATTCATTTGCTACTTACTCTTTCTTTTCAAATTTCGATTACTGTATTGTTTAGGTTTCAGTTTCTTTAGATACAATAAGATAGATACAATATGAATATAATATCTAAAATGAAAGTTAAAATTAGAAATATTAAGTCAGGTGTTCATATTCTTCTCTTGTTTTATATCTTAGTGAACGAAACGGTGTATCTCTACACTAGTAGAACTGCTTCTAACCAAGATTTCTAACCGAGATTTAATTTCTTGATTTTTTTTAGTAAGATCATGATAAGGAAATGGAACAATTCAAGGAATTTCAAGAAGTCAAGAGCTTGAGCATCTGTAATTTCTTGACTTCTTGTACTAAGACCTTTGAAAAAAACACCAAGAAGTTAAGATCTTGGATTCTTGAATCTTTCACTCAAGATCCTGAAACATCTTGGCTTACTTCACTCAAGATCTCGGGTTAAAGAAATTTCAAGATCTTGAGTGGTGTAACCCAGGATGTTTCAAGATCTTGGATTCTTAAATCTGTCACTCAAGACCTTAAGTGAATTTATTCAAGATGTTTGAATTTGCATTATTTTTAAATTATAAATAATAAATTATTTTTAAAATTTAAAATAGAAAGAACAAATTTACATTTTGTTTTTATTAATGACAGTCGTAACTATTGGGTATATGACCGTCTAGACTACTAGATTTTTCCTTCAACAATTATGGTCAAGAAGGAAAAAAATTCGAAGTTATTCTAAGTGTGAAATATTCGCACTTATATTTACACAAGGGTGTAAAACAAAACGATGTTTCAGGAATTTCGAAGATCTTAGTACAAGAAGTCAAGAAATCACAAGATGTTCAAGCTCTTGAGTTCTTGAAATTTCTTGAATTCTTATATTTTCTTACCAAGATCCTGAATCAAAATCTTACTGAAAAAATTAAAGAAGTCAAGATCTTGATTACAAAAAGTTTCATTAGGGAGTTGTGTAAGGAAGAACCTATCAATCAATCAGTTTATTTTAACACGAATGTGTCTAGGATGTTACAAAAAAGAAAAACTTAGATGAATGTAACGCCTATGTTAAAATCAAGAGAAATATGTCAGATCTGATCAGGGTTGCACTGACTCTATATGACCGTATAACCGATGGCTATGACTGTCATAAACAAAAACAAAATTGCAAGAACTCCAAGATCGTGGTTACAAGAAGCTTCTCTAGGGTACAGCCAGAAATGTCGCTCTTTCTCTATCCATAGCTTGCATCAGTCTTAAATACGGTTCATATTGCGCTTTTCCCGGCAAACTAGTGCAACAAGACGTTTGAAGCTATCAACGCTGTAAATAAAGAATTGACTCACAATTTCTTCCATCTCCTTTTCTACTAGTCTTGTCTGCCGAAACTTTTAGTTACGGACACCGTGTTTGTATTCTGTCATCAAACATACTTTATAAAAGGAATATATATGCTTAGTGTATGGCGCAACTAAAACTAAACAAAGTATCTATTTTACTTTAATTTAAAATCATTCTATTCACATTGGTGATTGGCTATTCTAAAGGGCATGATTCCAAACCATGAATTTTCAGAACCAACAACCGTCCAACAAAAGACAGGTTTCAGTTTTCCTTCGACTGAGAGAAAGTCCAGTCCCCAGAAAACAGACATACGTCCTGAAAACTCGAAAAACTCCAAATTTTTCAACTACAACTGTCAACAACCGTTTAGTAGAATAGTTTAAAAGATAAACAAAAAAAAGTCTTGATGTAAGATGCTTTCTTGTCTTACGTGCACAGTATCCAGCCTTGTTGACCTTGTAATTAAAAATGATAACTGTTACGAGCAACAATAAATATATATTACTGCAATTGATCCCGGTTTTCTCCTTTCTAGATATCAGTCATAGTTTCACACTATATATAGTTGATCTACGTAATAAAATTAGATATCGCGAAGAACGTCACGTACTTCTACGATAAAGCGAAGAAATCCTTTCATCTAGGTACAAAGACCATTCTTTTTCGAGAATCTTCAATTGGAAAAGACGGCAGGACAAGCACATGAGCAAGATTTTTCTTACTCCATTTTCTGAGTTAATGTAAATATTATTCTCTCAATTTGCTGTGATAACAGCATATTCGGTTGCCGAAACATTCTTTCTTGCAAAAGAAAAGAACAAACAATGACGCTCTAAAAGTTACACTCATGTACGTCTGTAGAACAGAAAACAGAGGAAAGAAATTCTAAAATTGTTTTTTAAAAAATTCATAGTTGATGCGCTCTTGTATAGCACGATGTGGAGAGGATACAGAAAATTTCAAGAATGGTTCAGAGATGGGCGAGTACGCAGATTCTCGAGTACTAGTACTGCGCGTCGAGTATGAGTACGAGTATTTTCTAAAAAGTACTCGAGTACTTTTTAGAAAATACTGGAGCACAAAAATTTTTAAAAGATGAAAATACTCATGAAAAAAGTTATTTTAATTATAGGTTATTATATGTTAAAAAATTTCAAGTACTCGAAAATACTCGAATACATTTTTAAGTACTAGTAAAAAAAAGTCCCGAGTACGAGCACGTGTACGAGTACCGAAAATTTTATACTCGAGTATACACGTACTCGCCCATCTCTGGAATGGTTCAGTAATACTGAAGACTACAACAATCCCAAGCTGCACTACTCCACTTCTCAATGAGAATAGTCTGTGAATCAGCAATAATAGAAGAATAATGAAATCTTGAGAGTCTCTGTTTGTGGATCAAATTTATATGTGCTGACTGAGATTTCCATCTGCATTGTAATCACATACAACGAGTCATTTTGCCGAATTCGGCGTTTGAGCAATTCGAAGACTAATCTTGTTTTAAAATAGCGAAAAGCGTTTATGACTGAAACATGAAGCTGACGCGATTTCATGACAATGCTGAATACTACTAGAAACTAAAATCCGCCAGTCAGATGTGTGTGTTTTATTCATAAACTCTGTTAGGCATAATGATAACAACGTCACTGTTATATCTTAATAAACGAGCTTTAAATCGCATTATCAAACATGAGAAGAACAGTGGAGAGTTTCTTGAAACTTTTCTGAGCATCGATTTTCCGAGTATCATTGGTATACTATATAGAGTTTCTACATCCATATATCTGTTCGCATTCCAAATCTCAAAATGTTTACATCAAACGCCACGCGAAAACACACGAATTGAACTTTGGTTTTATATTCATCCAATAAGCATTCTAACATTTACATTCAAGAAAGAACAGTTCTGCTCTTATTATTACTTGCAGGAAACAATATACTTGTTTTCGGCAAAATGTCAAAAATTCATAAGACGTAAGGCGACAGGCAAATAAATGTACAAATGGAAATTTTTGCTGAGACAGACTGAAGACAAACTAAGTTCAATGAAAAATACGAATGCACTTAATTCCATTATCTCTGTTGATATTCTGTTGCTTCTTATTCATGCTCTCTTTCTGTAAGTTTTAGATTTTCATCGCTTCTTCTTTTCTTTTGCAAACAAAGAAATTGAAGAAGGTCAGTCAACCTAATATGTTATCACAGTATATTGAGAGAATAATATTTACATTAACTCAGATAACGAAGTAAGAGAAACCTTTCTCTTTCATTCCTCTAATTTTATTATGAATATAAAA